CTTCAGGAAGCGAATTTCCAGAAAACACCATTCTTGTATCACTTTGCCAGCAGGTAAACTTCGTTGACTGGTAGTACTTGTTTAGCAATAATGAAGTAAACAGGTAAGTTCAGTTCCTATTTCCCAGAGAATGATGTGTTTTTGAGTTTCTGTTTATAGTCTGTTTTTGAAGAATTGCTAGACTGGACATAAATTGCATCATTCCAGTAAGGTTCCTCATTAGCCTATGAAGTGCTTGCAACATGGAAAATAGATTAACTTTAGCTAATATGAAGTATATAAAGATTAAGGCTTCTTTGTGTTAATCCAACTGCATTGGGAATAGTCTTCACAGAAAATCATTCAGTAACCTGAAGTGGGATGGACTTTGTATAAAGATTTTGGCTGATATCAGAAGTGTTTCCAATATGATGCATTCATCAGTTGATCCTCATAATATGACTACCAATAATCATCTGATGTCAGTCCAACTAGCAACTCAGTCTTACTCTGAGACTATCGGAATAAGACTGAGAAAGTCTTACTGTCTTTTGTAGTGTTACACATCAGCTGGTAATTGAGAGAAAGTGAGAAACAGACTACTAGCATCAAAATAGAGCTAGAACTATTCCCTGTAGAAACATCTTAATTGTAGAARGTGACTGAAATGTGTAGATTGCTCTTAACAGTTCTCCAGAGAGCTACAACTGCTAGGAAGTTTGGATATGATAAAATAAGGAGTAGGGAATTGTAACTTAAGCAATTTTCATCTAAGAGAGTTTTTTAGAGACAAAAATAGTATGAGATTATTACATCCACCAGAGAAAACTAAGACTGTAAAAGAAGATTAAAAGAGAAATATTCCTCTGTAAAATGTGAAATAGATTACATAATTAAGGCAGAGAAAGAAGATTGTTTTGAGCAGCAGGACATAGATCTATAGAAATCTTTTGCAGGAATGTTGTTAGACATATTAAAATACCTTCAGGAGGCAAAAAATAACCTAAATGTCTCACCTACTCTGTGATATAGAAAAGCATAATATATTTATAACTGCATACTTTAAGGTAAAATGGCAGACAAGTCCTGTTGGTAAAATTGGAAATGTCATAGGAAAAAAAGAACATAAGAATATAACAAAATCGAAATTAAGTAAAAGCTGTCTGGAGAAATTTTCCATTTCATTTATAATATGATTTAGGAAATGAGAAAATAGCTGAAGATTTAGGCAATTCCATGTGATCGTTATTTATCAAAATGGAAAGTCAGTCTATTTTTTTCATGAAAATAACTGGCCATTTTCATCCTCAGACAGGGCAGCAAGATATTGCTGTTCATCAATTGGTAACCACAGTGACAAATTTTCCTCCTGATGAACTCACAGAAAGTATAAAGTATGAAATAACATAATATATGCTATTTCAAAAGTGACTGATGGTAACTTGTGGGATGGTAGTATGTGTTTTGGATAATTTTGCTAAGATATGTGATGGATATGACATTGAACTTCTTCAAGCAGTTATAGAGATAGTTGAAAATGCGAAATGGATGTACAATCTTAAAGAAATTGTGATAGTTTTTGTCTGTGTGTGTTGTGAGCAAAGCATTTGGAGCCTTAGGAAAATAGATGATGCTTGAGATCATTAGTGCTTTTTAGGTATTGCTTGAAAAAAAATCGGCAGAAATGAAAACCAGCAAAAGGATATACCTACTTGGGACTAAAAAATAAGCCAGTTGTGCTTTACCAGATTCAGAATATCAAAGTGAGAGGAACAAAATTACTAAAAATAATCATCATGTTTAAAGTAAAGGGGAGGATCTAGAGACATCAAACAAAAAACAGAGAGTGTGGCACTACTGATAGCTTCTGAAGAGAGAGAGGTATTCCCATGAAAATCCAAAGAGCATTTCACATATTTTTAAAGCGCAGTTAAAAAGAACATTATGCACCAGCTTGAGAACACATTAAGAAGTATATCAGATAAATTGTAAATAAAACTTCCATGTTGTCTTTTCAGATACAACTGTAAGGTTATAGAATGCAAGTACTATGATTAAAAGTATTCTCACAGGTATGCTTGTTAAAAATCAACAATTCATTGTTTTACTGATAAGCACACTTATTGGAAAACAAAACAAAACTTTATTATTAATCTGTATATTTTACTTTTTAACTGTAAATGTCCATAGTGCCTGCCAGGAATAATACTTGGTGAACCATGCTGCTGGGAAAAAAAAAAAAAATGAAACTAGGTGAAGAATAGGAGGGGTGGAAAATGGGAGAGTGAAAAGTTCTGAAGAAAGAAATAGAAAGAGAATCAATAAATGAAAAAGAAATGAAAAAGACRGAAGGAATAAAATGGGGCAAAATGAGAACTGTTGTTGTCTAAACAACTCCTCTTAATATGTAGAAATCACCTTCCATACTATAGCATCAGAAAAAGTTGTCCTGGTCCATATGAGGGTCTTATRTATCAAGGAATACAGCATTAGAATGACCACAGACATAAGAATGAATTAAGTATTCTGTGTACATTCATCTTTKGTAACAGCTTAGTAATGTTTAAGGAAAAAAAAAAGAAAAGATTTTAAAAGACTATTTATCAAACCAAACAGATATAGTCACTTTGAAGCCCTAGGTTTTCAATTAATTCCCTCTAATTTCAAATGCTGCATACCCTGTGTTGCTTACTCTATGGCAGATAAAAAATCAGGTTCTTTACAGCAGTACAAGTGAGTACTGAGTTTAGCATGGCTAATATAGCTTGTATAGCTCAAGTCTGTAACCTCTTCTATGACATTTGCTTAATATATCAAGGTGACATACACTCGAAGCCTTGCTTTCCCAATATGCTCACATCTTTATTTAACTTTCTGTCTGTGATTAATGGAATTGGCTGTTTCTGCTTTACTGTAATGGATGGCTATGTTGGAGCAATACACAACTTAGCTATGACATCTCATTCCATTGAGAGATTATAACAAAAATACCTAGATGAAGCAGAGCTGACAAATGTATTTTTACTCAATACATTTTTTTCTCTCTTTCTCTTTGACATCTTTTTATAGCCTAAATGGCTTTCTCTGTGAAATCTCAGTGGTAACACTTCTCCTTGAAATTTCACTCCAGTCCACCACAGGGATTGCATTGCCCCAAGAAGTAAGGAGAATGTGTTGGAATATTCTGCAGTTGTATGCCAAAGTGTTCATTCAAATGTGAAACTTCTTCTTTTTGAAGGTAATTGTGCACTTCAAAGGGGGACRATAAGTATGTCATATCCCATGGTTACTAAAATGTTAAAGCATTTTTTTTTTCCTGAAATGAAAAAGTTATTGAAAATGTTTTGCCTACATATATCAAGTATTATACAGAGATAACATGACTTACATCTGTAGATTTGTAACTATTTGCTGTAGTGAACCAATTCACATAGCTGGGTACATATTGAGAAGACCGTGTTGACAGGACAGATGTATATTGAATTCAGTAAATAGTTTACCAGTTATCATAAATGTTTATATTTATAATAGCTAACACACATTTCACAGATATGCTAGTCAAGGTTAAATCTYGTGATTCTTTTATTTATGAACACATACTTTCTCAGTTGGTTTAAAATAAGGTATTATTTGTATAAATTTTATGTAATTATATAACAATTTTGATCATCCTACTTTGAAAAGCACACAATGATTTTAGAAGTGTGGTAAAAGGTGACAAGAAAGACCATGAGTATTTTATATAGCTTGAACAGCTTATATTCAAGAATATCCTAAATAACATTCARAAAAGAGATATTCATTTGACAAAGCAGTCTATGTTTCTTAATAGGCATAAAGAAGGTGTCTGGGGAATGATAATTTTACTTTTCTCATAGGAATGGGCTCAACGGGCTCCCAAGGAAATTATGAGCAATAGATTTAAAATAAACAAAAGGAAATACTTTTTCACATAGCACATAATTGAAATGGGAAGCAAATTGTCAAAGGAACTGCAAAAAGCAAAACTGCAAACTATTTCAAATATATATTTGTCAGCTTCATGACAAAGAGATCCTTTGGCAGCTATGTATGTGAAAATCTCAGATGCAGCCTCTAGAACAGGCGGTCCTTAAACTGGTGATTGGTGACAATTAAAAGGGAAATGGAAATATCGGGGAGAATATTATTCCCTATGCATTCATTGTTGGTTGTCATYGGAGAAAATATACCTATCCAGATGAAACCCTACTCTGACCCTATGTGACCTCTTAATTATGAAAATTGTCTCTTCAATCTACCTTCTATTGTCTGTTACACCTGCCTTTCATATCTTTTATCAGTCAAAAGATTTTTAGTAAAATTTGGAGGTTTCTTGAGCWATTTCAAATTTGATCATACCATTCATCCTGTACAATGATCAGAGCATCTGCCTTATCAAACCTTTAGAGGGCATGATCTGAAAAAAAATGCATCTTACATCATAATGTTGGCTTACTTTTATATAAGTARGTTAAAGATTGAGACTCTAAACCGATTTTGGACCTCTAAATATAGAGCAAAACCTACAATAATAATTGCTTTGCATTTTCTTCAGTAAGAACARGCTCAAGCTTTGCATCAAAATTTCTGTTAGACTGTCAGAACTGTTTTTGACTATATTAATGTAGACTTATTTTTTTCCCTCAAAATGTCTTCTAAACCTAATGCTTTATGAGAATGGTATCTGTCATTTTGCACATTCTCAGCATTCTTCACAAATGCTCATGTTATTCTAAAATACTTTGGAAGACAAACCTCCAAGTTCACTCAGTATTGATTATTTTTGGCATGAATGCTACGTTAACATCAAAATATTACAAGATTACTTCAAGATTTTTGACAATCCTAACGGCTTTCCAAAGGTCACAGTGATTGTTTTTATGTAACTTGTTTTTTTTTTTTTTCTTCACACAGGGGAAGTTATCTCCAAAGTGGTGTTGTTTTATTTTATTTTATTTTATTTTATTTTATTTTATTTTATTTTATTTTATTTTATTTTTTACTGAAAGAGATGGAAAGAGGAAATTTGAATCCTCACTCTACCTCTGATTAGGTAAGTCATCATCCACAATTTACTTGTCATGGTCCTGAGAAATACCGGGATGTGCCTTAAAGCATTCTTGAAATCATCAAGGATTGCAATATTTTTTTTATGACATTTAAAGTTATCTTGAAAAAAAGCACCAGCATGGTGTTTTTCTTAAAATTTAAACTTAGTTTTGTCTGTCCTTTCTGTTCTAACATATATTACATTTGATAATATACTAMTTTCTGGCTGTGGAAAACAGAAATTGCTCTCAGAAAGTTTAAAGTAAATGTACACAGTGCTTACTTTTATTRATGAGACATTATATGCTGCTGGTCTTCTTAATTGTCTTAATATAAGACATTGTCTTATAGACACTAGCAAAACAGTAATTTGCTTAGCTATCATCACAGTTATAAAAGTAAATATTGGGGGAATTGTCTTTTACATGAAAGCACTTGTTATGTGTGTTACAAATATAACTACAGGAAAAATTTAATGTCCTCTAAATATCTATTTTGTGACACTTGTGATAATTCATATAAATAACTGTTTCTAATATGTTTATAACACAAATATATGTTSGCTATCTGTGTATTAACATGATGGATGTACAATTACAGTATCAACTTTTGAGTCTGCAGGTTTATAAGTAGTTTTTGAGGTTACTCTCTCTCTGAATAAAATGTTTGCATAAAGAAAGGAACATTATAGAAGATTAAAYTATCTCATTCTCCAGTGTGTTATCAATTAGGCCCTGAAGACACAAAAACACTGAAGACACATATAAGGCAGTACTAAGATCAAGCTGCCTTTACCTGGATAAAATATGTGTCTGTGAAGGCAGATGCAATTTTTGTGATGGGAGATAAAGGTTAATAAAAATTTAACAATACTTTAAATACTGTGAAATCCACCTCTGGTCAGTAATGATTTAAAGACATTTGCAGGATGTCTCTTTGGTAGGATTGTCTTCCTTTTTTCTTTTTCTTTAAATAGGTCTATATCAAAGATTGACATGAAACTGAATTATGAAACTATTCATCTTAATTCTGCATCTTGGTCCCTCCAAGTCAGGTCCTCAGGAGGTATATCTGCATCTTTTGCTTCCTGTGTTTTAAACCTTCTATAGTTTAGGTGTTCCTTTTTTTTTTTATTTTTTTTTTTATTTTTTTTTTATTTTTTTTTTAATTTTCTGGGATTTAGAAAAACACTAAATTATTCATTTTGCCCTGTTCTCACTGCTAAGTTGAATCTAACATCCTTTAATTTCATCTACCTCTGCTAATAAGTGTAGCACTATGATACTTGATAACCTTTCAAGAACAAATACCKGAGAATAACCTATATGTTCTTCCTAGAAAAATATACTGCGTCCTTCTTTTCTCTTAAATAATTAACTTTTCAAGCAAAATTTAATAAATGTCTTACTTCCCTGACTTTCTAATTAAAGAGCGACCCAACATTACACAGAAGAATTTCAGTTTTGCTTCCTGAATAAATGAGTGTTCCACACTCTTTCGGATAATCACAGGTCTTCCAACACTTTGGTATAATGATTTCAGTGAATACACTGTCACTACTGATGGCATAGATGATTACAAAGTTTTCTCTTCAAGATACATAAAAGGCATTTGGTTCATGATCTGTCAGTGTCTTGTATTTAAGGTCCCTTCCTGTATATTCCCTTCATGCATGGTTGACTTTGAAGTATTTTTTCTGTATGTTATTAAAAAGCAAATGTTGCTKCCATTTATTCTTTTTCATAGTACATAAATCAGCTACTATGTGAGCAAGAAGGGCTGTGTTTGCAAGTTAAAAGCTTTCATGCGGCATAAAAGAATGACAATGTCACTCCTCCTAGCTGGAAAAAACAGTAAAGGACAGTAGTTTTCAAAAGCACTGCAGCTGTTTTCAAATAAAGAAACACATCAAGACAGATTTATAAGGTGGGGGCAGAACACTGATATCACTCAAGTGAAAAAACATCTTCAGATGGTATCTTCCCATCATATACTATGCATCTTACCAAAGTATGAAACTTGCAATGACTTTGTTTGTTAGTTAAAAAGGTACAGATATATATGGATAAATTTAAGAGTGAATAYATTTTAGTTAAGGGAGGAAAGTAGTGAACTGGGTAGCAGGAGYAATGTGAGGCTGCTGTTAGCAATGTCTGCCCTGCTTTTATTCTCAGGATGCCATCTTTGGCAGAAGGTTAGCTGGTTACTTCACCTACTTGCCAGCGTCCTCATCCCACTAAACAGTGGATGCTGTATTGGTGGAGTTGGATGACTAGACAACAAACGGTATAATTTAGTGAAGAATTTTGCTACTAACTGTCATCATATGTTACCTGAGAGAGAAGAAATTAGATCAAACAGAACCCCAAAGTTATAACTTACAGCAGCAAAAAGTACAAAAGTAGGAAATACAATTCCTAACYGTGGTAGAATAGCTGTGATGTATTAATAGTAGTAGTGATAGAAGCAAGGCTATCTAGCTATGTGAGTGACACCTGTGACACATGAGAGAACAGTTTTTTAGTCTAAATGATATAACTTGAAACTCCAAAATGCTCCTGGACACTATCTTTCTATTCTTTTTTTCTTTTTTCAGTCCTAGGAATTGAAGAAGTGCATAGAGTCTGAGGAAATCTCAAACACTTGACTTCATTCAAAACTTATTGCTCTCAGCCCATGGATGYGTTTTCCATGAGATGTGTATGTGCTAATAGCAAGCTTAACATTGAAAGAATAAGTTTCCAAAAGGTGTCTAGTCAATAGAGAAATAATGGGACATGGAGTAATAGGAATTTAGAAAGGAGTGAGAAAAGGTTTTGTGAAATTATGAGGGAAGGAGAATATGTACATAGACACATAACTACAAACAAAGTTGTAAGGGAAATGTATAGGAAACATACTTTTTATTTTGTGCTTCATAATCTCTTAGGAAACTTATGTGAGGAGAGATGGCTTTGCTACTGGAAACATCTACTAGAATTAGGGAAAAACTATAAGTAGGGCAACCAGGATGATTAAGGGAATGGAACATCTCTCGTATGAAGAGAGGCTGAGTGAGCTGGGCCTGTTTTCTCTGGAGAAGAGAAGGCTCAGAGGGGATCTGATTAACATGTATAAGTTCAGGAAGGGAGAATGCAGGGAGGAAGGGGACAGGCTGTTCTCACTGGTGGCCAGCGATAGGACGAGGGGTAATGGCCACAAGCTGAARCACAAGAAGTTCCGTCTCCAGGTGAGGAGCAACTTCTTTACTGTTAGGGTGACAGAGCAGTGGAACAGGCTGCCCAGGGAGGTTGTGGAGTCTCCTACTCTGGAGGTCTTCAAAACCCGCCTGGATGCCACCCTGTGCCACATGCTGTAGGTGTGCCTGCTTGAGCAGGAAGGTTGGACTAGATGATCTSTAGAGGTCCCTTCCAACCTTAAATATTCTGTGAATCTGTGAAAACACACCTGATATGCCTTGTATCTGCTTCCAGGATAGTGTGGTAGACTCATGGAGGTAGGAATGAGCTCTCCCCCTTCACTGTTGTCCTTTCTTTTATACAATTACATTGTCTGGGCTAGAAAGTTACAGACTGGATTATCTCCATGCAAGTTTCTGTTTTCTTCTCCATTGTCCACYGGCCGTCCTGTTTTCTCAGAAGAAAATGCTGCAGTTATGGTGAATGATTTGTTCAGGGTCAGGCAAAGCTCCCTCTCACTTTGACCTTTGATAAAACGAATTATGTTGTAGGTTTCATATATGCCCTTTCCAGATATGTTACGACTATATTTCTGACAGAAACATGGAGGAATGGACAGGACAAAATAGTAACTTATATTAACAGCTGCAATCTCAATTTCTTTGAATTTTTCTRGCTGCTCGTGGGATTGCTTCAGGTGGTAGAGCAGATATGTATTGCTTGTATACGACATTAAAACCTTTTCTTTTTTGAAGTAAATCAAGACATCATTTTCCTGTATGACCATCTTTTAAGTGCACGTTTTGGACACATAAAAAATGAAAAAAATATCTTTTTCTACCTCAGACCTATGTCTGCAGTGACTAGGACTTTTAGTGGCTTTTGGATAATTCATCTAACTTGAAAAAAGCAGCATAAGGTCTTCTCAGCAATTATTTAAGAGCACATTGCTGAGTTCAGGCTTTATTCAAAGTAAAYAGTGGTTCTGAAGTTTGTGTTTTGTAGAAGCAGTGAAAAGAGCATAAAGATAAACTCAGCAAAATATTTCTTTTTTAAAAAAGCAAATAATCTGAATTTGTTTCAACTCTTGTAAAAAGGTTACCAATCATTTATCCAGCATTAAAAAAAAATCTTTTCTAACAAACTCACTAAAAGACCAACAAAAAGGCACCAAATTCATTATAAATTCTTTTATTAATGTAAGTTGACTCTGTTTAAGTCCTCAAAAGAAAAATAAGAAGAAATAAGCACAGGGAAATATATGAATTCCTGCTAATAGATTAGCTATTAATTAATAGCTGGCATGAGGAATATTTAGCCATTTTCAAACAACAGTAGACAAAATAAAAGCCATTCAGTTGAAGAATGAGCACCCTAAGGAAGAAACCAAGCCATAATCCTCTAATAGCCTGAGGTAAAATGGATTTTTACCAAGACAGTGAATGCAAAAGGCATAGCTGAAAAATAGAAATATAAAAGCTTGAAACGTGTGAAAGAAGTGACCACAGTTCTTTCAAAGTAGGAAATATCATGGGGAGTTTGGAAGTGGAAGAAATTTTTGTTAAAACTGAGAAATATGAGAGGTGGATAGAGCACACATGCAGGAGATATAAAGAAATAAACTAGATAAACTACTTCCAAGCATTTGAAAGTTTAAAGGATGCACTTACGTACTCAAGATATTTTGCCAAATTTTCTACATACATGAAGGAGGAGCATTTTTTTTGTTGTTCTTTTCTGAAATGATGGGTGAACCTTTTTTCATGAATTCCTATGATTATTTGAGACATGTAACATTTTGAGACGCTGTGTATGAGTACAATAA